GGGAATATTCAAATAGTCCATAAAAATACAAAAAGAGGGCGCTTGGGTGGCTCAGTTGGTTAAGCGACTGCCTTCGGCTCAGGTCATGATCCTGGAGTCCCTGGATCAAGTCCCGCATCGGGCTCCCTGCTCGGCGGGGAGTCTGCTTCTCCCTCTGACCCTCCCCCCTCTCATGCTCTCTGTCTCTCATTCTCTCTGTCTCAAATAAATAAATAAAATCTTTAAAAAAAAAGATGTCAATGCATCTTAAAAAAAAAATACAAAAAGATGCTCAACTTCCTTAGTCACTCAAGAAATGCAAATTTAAGCCATAATGGTATACCAGTGCATAACAACCAGAATGACTAAATTGAAAAAGACAATATCAAACGTTGACAAAGATGTGAAACAAACAGAACTCTCCATACACTGCTAAGACTGTGTATTGGTAAGAGCGTAAACTGGTGGAACCACTTAGGGAAACTGTTGGGCAGTATCTACAGAAAATGAATACACACATTCCCATAACCCAGCAATCCAAGTTCTTGATAGAGAAACATATATATATGTTCATCAACAAACACATACAAATACATATTCATGGCAGCACTATTCATAATGGCCCAACACTGGAAACCACCTTAATATCTGTCAACAGCAGAATGGATGAATAAATTGTAGTATATCTATACAAAAGAACACTGTTCAGTAATGAGGATGAATGAATTACATCTACAGGCAACAACATGGAAAAATTTTACAAGCATAATGTTAAGAGAAAGAAGGCAGACATGAAAGAGTATATTTCTATAATTCCATTAAGATAAAGTTCAGGGGCGTCTGCCTTTGGCTCAGGTCATGGTTCCGGGGTCCTGGGATCGAGCCCCTCATCGGGCTCCCTGCTCGGCCGGGAGCCTGCTTCTCCCTCTCCCCCTCCCCCTGCTTGTGTTCCCCTCTCTCGCTGTGTCTCTCTCTGTCAAATAAATAAAATCTTTAAAAAAAAAAAAAAAAGATAAAGTTCAAACACAAGGCAAAAATTAACCTGACGTGTTAGAAGTTGGGAGAGTGACTACCCTGGGCAAGAAGCAGGAGTTGCTTTAATACGCAATGAATTTATCAAATATCCTATTACAAATACACATTTGAGTTACCTTTGCATTTATAAAAATGATCACCATGGTAACTTCAAGTAGAAAAATTAATAACAAAGTAGTAAAAAAAACAAAATTATTGCCAAAGATACAAATTCAGCTCAGATTGCTGATTTTTCCTACTTTAAAGTCTGCATAAAATGCGTGCCTAAATTTTGCACAACTTTTTTTTTAAGATTTATTTATTTATTTGAGAGAGAGAGAGAGTACGGGGGGAGGGGAAGCAGAGGGAGAAACAGAATCCTCAAGCAGACTCTGCACTGAGTGCGGAGCCCAATGCAGGGCTCCATCTCACAACCCGGATATCATGACCCTGAGATCATGACTTAAGTCAAAACCAAGAGTCGGACACTTAACCAACTGAGACACCTAGGTGCCTCTAAATATTGCAAAACTTTTAATTCTCTTTCTGAAGCCTTCACTATATTCTCTTTTAAGAAAAAATGATGTCAGGGCGCCTGGGTGGCTCAGTTGGTTAAGCGACTGCCTTCGGCTCAGGTCATGATCCTGGAGTCCCAGGATCGAGTCCCGCATCGGGCTCCCTGCTCGGCAGGGAGTCTGCTTCTCCCTCTGACCCTCCCCTGTCTCATGCTCTCTCTATCTCATTCTCTCTCTCAAATAAATAAATAAAATCTTAAAAAAAAAAAAAGAAAAAATGATGTCATTTATCCATGTCTTTATTTGTAAAACTATGAAAAACAAAAGGTGAGAAAATTACTTTGAAATAAATCAAACATAGACAGCCACTTTCTCAATCAACCTTTTTTATCACCAGGCCAACTTTGAACACATTCAATGCTGTTTCTCAAAGTCCCATGTACAGAGCCCCTGCATTACTACCTCTCTTGAAATTTTTTGCTATAACTATGTAAAATGAAGATAACAACAGCAACTATCTTACAGAGTGTTATTAAGATTAAACGAGATAAAAATGCATTATCCTGGAACAGTGGATGTTAGCACTTAATAATAACACCCTTAATTTGTATTAATACTGTCAACATCAGAATAGCCTGAAGTGTTTGTTAAATCACCATTGATTTCTGGGCTCAACCCCACACCTACTGAAGCTGAATTGCTAGTTGGGCCTCGAAATCTGCATTTTAACTAGCCTTTTGAGTGATTATTTTTGTAGATTTAAATCTGAAGACCACTACCCAGAGATTAAGGCTTACTTCTTACTGTTCCTCAGAGCTCCAATACAGGGATCTGTACACAGTGAATGCTTACTGACAGTCTAACTGATATTGAATATTACCAGATGGGTATGATATAAATTATTAAAGCAATCTGGAATTTGTTACACATTTATGCAGTATAGGGGAATAGATTTTGACATTTTGACTTCAGCAAAACATAAAAGGAGGCTTGTTAAAAAAGAAAAAAAAAAGGTAGCCTCAGTTTTAATCATTTTAACTTTCTTCATAAAAGATATTTGAATCCTCTCGTATTTTATATAACCCATTTTTCACTTAAAATAATTCAGGACAGTTAGGGGTTTTTTTTGCTTTCTGATTTTGTTTTGTTTTGTTTTACTTTAGAAGATCCAGGGAGTATACACATGTGCTCATGGAGAGGACAAATGACCATAATCCCTGGGCTCTGCACCATTAATATTAGGCCCACAACCAGGCTTCTATCACTACTTTCTTTCTTATATTTGTGTTCATTTAAAGGAAGGTTCCAGTCTAAAAAAGAGAACTGCAAATGGAAATGTCTTCAGCTTAATTTAAGTCAAATAAAAATTTAAATCAAGTTACAGTATCTATTTAAACTTTTTGTCTATAAAACAGCTACACAATTTGTCGCACTGAATAGAAAATTTTAATAGGAGAATAAATCTTTTCATTAGATGTTCGATTGCATTGAAAGAACAAGAGAGCCAACCTTTGACAAAAGAGAAAAATTAGCTACGCTCTGGTGAACATAGCATAATGTATAGAGTTGTTGAATCAATTATGTTGTATGCCTAAAACAAATGCAACATTGTATATCATCTTCAACTTAAAAAAGAGAAAAAAGTTAGGAATTATTTCTAGCTTCATTTCTTTTTTTTTTTTTTTTTAAGATTTTTATTTATTTGACACAGAGAGAGCGAGAGAGGGAACACAAGCAGGAGGAGTGGGAGAGGGAGAAGCAGGCTTCCCGCCGAGCAGGGACCCTGATGCAGGGCTAGATCCCAGGACCTGGGATCATGACCTGAGCCGAAGGCAGATGCTTAAGGACTGAGCCACCCAGGCGTCCCTAGCTTCATTTCTGTTTCATGTCATTAAGTAAACATAAAGATTAAAAGATAAAACCTAGATATTTTATCAGTGCAAAATAATGTTTAGGAACTAAATGTTCTTATTTGGTAAAAAGCCTTAAAGCATATGCTCTATTGTGAAAGATAAAATTCATATAATTCATGTACATATTTTCAACTACCATTGGCTATCTCAGTAAATCTAAATTCTCTAAATTAGTTGAAGAGATTCAGTGAGTTATGACACATTTATTTCATAAGTCAAATACAAGAGTGGTTGGGATTAGACATGAAGAACTTGATCTGCAGCCACCAGATGGACTTATTTTCCAGCCAAAAATCTGCTCCTTTATAAATATCAAATGCCCTTGACTTTGTGATGCCACAAATAACCTTTAAACTATCTCTGAAGTACAGTGAGACTTTTTTTTAAATCTCTCATTCTCAAGAAAGGAAAGGATGGGATTTTTTTTCTTTTCTTTTCTGGCAGTGATGCTACGTTCTGACAGTTTGCTAAGCAATGGAAATCATGCTGTAAGCAAAAGTCTCTGCAAGACAGAGATTCTTACAAAATAATCTTTATTTTTCCAATGGATACTGGCTACTTTTAGAGGATCCAGTTCCAAGAACAACTTCACTGAAGCAGGGTTCCCCGAGACTGAACTCACAGGATGCATATACTGAACCACCAAGGCTTCTCTTCTACCTCTGATCAGTGGTAGCTTGACCTCCAGACCTCCTAGTCTATCTCAGTTGCACAGGCTGACTTTGGACATCCAAATCAGTAATAGTAACCCATATTCTAATAGGATGAACTGTGAAAATGAGTGAATGCCTTAAGTAGAAGGTTTAGCTGTTTAGCAAAACAACAAATTAAAAATGCTTTACTTAAGCATCCAAATAATCTGATTTTTCTCAGAGTTAGCCAGAAAATTCCCAGACTTCAGATAAAAGGAGCAGAAAACTTCAGATGAAATTGGACTCCTGTTGAACATTTATCATTGAATTTCCTTGCATCTTGAGAATTGCCTTGGTAATCACACATGTCCCTCTTTATTAATCCAATCAGAGAAAATTACCTACCAAAGACCCAAACAGAGTCATCTGTACACTGATTTTACGTTGCTTTCCATCTGTTTCCTTGGCCTCTTTTATGTCCGTGAGAACCTATGCCTTTGATCATTCAATTCTAGATTTAAGAACAAACCAAGAGTTGCAGAAAATTTTTGATCTGTCTTTCTTATCAGTGATGGCGATTGTGAATTCTACTGTGACGCCTGAACGAAATCTAAGCATGCTCAAAAGTCAGAATAGATTTGGAAAAGGAGACCCCTTCTGGAGACATGTGGTTGGTAGGCTAGACTTTTACAAGTACTGATCTCATTTAAAAACTTGGAGGGCACTTCACAGCAGGCTCTGAGAGTAAGGAAAATGAGACTAGACTAGAGAGGAGATGTTCAAGATTAACAGGGCATCCAATTTGATACTCACCATAACTCAATACCACATTTCATTCATTCACTCGTTCCCCGTATTTTCTGTTACTCCTTTAAATTAGGAGCTGGGTCTTGATTAAATGCTTAAGATTTCTCCAAGGAATAAGTATACAAAGTGTTAACACTTACTTTCCAGTAATAAACTGACTCCTGGACGGTGTGCAAATAGGCTGGACATAGTAGTTCTCCAGTTTAACTCCTTCGGCAGCGAGCTTGTCAAGAGTGGGAGTCTTGATCTCCGAGCCGTGGTAACCCACATCTCTAAATCCCTGATCATCCGCTAGGATGAAAATGAGGTGGGGTTGGGAGGTGGCCGTCGTGCTGGGCTCTGGTCTCTCTCCAGACTGAGCTCGCAAGGTCCCTTCCTCCTCCTCCTCCAAGCCCTGGCCCCAGGACAGGTAACCGTAGGTGAGGAGGCTGAGGACCCAGAAGGCTGCCAGCGCCCCCATGGCTAGCATCCTTCCCGGCCAGAACCAGGCTTGCGGAGGCGGCGGCGGCGGAGGCCCCGCACAGCCCCTGGGGGCCATTCACTGAGGTCCCGGCTGAGACGCCACTCGCCGAACCACGCACCGCGTGCGGCCGCTGGCGCACACATGCACGCGGGAGGGGTCGACCGAACAGGCGGCGGACTATCTCCACCTGGAAGGAAGTCCCGCGCCCCTCTCCGCTGTCACCGCATCCAACAACCTTCCTTAACCTCCTGGAAGTGATGAGACGTCGGAACAACAAGGAGCCGCTCTTCTCCTTCAAATTTCACTTTCTCCTCCTCCTCGCTCCCCTGAGCAGCTGCCACCAAAAAAAGTCAGTGCCTCCACCCACAAGTTCTCGGGAGAAGAAGTCTAGTAAGGGACTGAGAATCACCTTGCGTAGGGGCTTTTTCTGCCCAGAGCGCCCTGGACGTTGAGGAGTGAGGTAGCGGCGGGCGCGCGCGCGCGGGCCGGGTGGGACCTGCAGCCTGGCCGTCCCCTCACCTGGAAAGCCCTGAAGTTGGGCCGCCTCGCCTCGCCTCGCCCGTACACTAGCACATGAACAGCTGCCTGAAGTGGACCGACTTCCGGACCACTTTCTCCACTTTTCCAGGGCTATTTCTCCCGGTCCTCTCCAAGGCGTTTGCCAATCTCCCCGACACTAGGCGGCGAAGTGAGGGGGGGGAGCCCAGTTTCCTGATTCCTTTCCACCGCTAACCACCCTTTTCTGCAGGAACTTCGGGCGCCCAGTCCTCCGGGCCGCTGGAGCGCGTGGGGGAGCGAAGCGCGTTCCCGCCCCGGTGGCCCCTCCACGCCGAGCCCCCTTGGTCTCCGCGGAGCTGACGCACCGGCCGAGGCGCTGAGAGATGGGTGCGTTTTGTCAGCTAACTTACTTAGTTTGCGCACTAGGCGTTCTTGGCCGCCTCCGTCCTCTGTTCTGTCCGGTGAATCACAGAACGGTACTTTCGGCTTTAGCTCCTCCAGGAAGAGGGGGAGGGGTAAGGTTGGTTTAGAGGTTCGGTCTTTCCTTTTTTCTTTGCGGGAGGAGGAGCGAGGGGAGGCTTTGCGGGACAGAAGGAAAGCTGCGCGCCTCTCCTCGATCCCTGCGGGATCCAGGGGAGTCCGCCTGGGCTAACTCCTCTCCGGGTTTCGCCGGCTGCCCTCCATCATCCGGAGAGGGGGGAAACGGCGGCGGCGCGGATCGGGAGGGGTGGAGCGGGTGCTGCTTTTCGTGGGTCCGTAAATGAGGAGCTCTCTCGCCCATCCCGAATGCTGCGCTTGCGAACTTCTTCTAGCTGCTGGAGGCAGTGAGCGAGGAAGAGCAGGAGAAACAACAAACTGCGTAGCACACTCTTTCTTCCTCTTCTAGTTTTCCTTTACTAGTCTCTTCCCTCCACCACCACCCCCCATTTTTCCTACTCTTTTTATCCCCGCCTCTTTTTTTTTTTTTTTAAACAGTCGCGACTACAAGTTTTTAAATTGAATTTCCTTTCCCTGTTGCTGGCCTTGACAGCCTGACTTCCTCATGAGCTTCTCCCTACGTGAAGATATTGAAATTGTCCCCTTGTTCTTACCTCCCCCCCAAACTTACCCACAGGGCGTCTCCAGCCAAGAATGTGGGGCGAAGAGGAGTTACGCATTTCACCCTCAAGAACTGAGAGCCCAGTCTGCACTCCTGCAGTAAAGAAACCATTTCCCATCTAATAGTTCCAGGAACTTCATCACTTTTTTTTTTTTTAAACTATGTGGAGTGAAACTATTGTAAAATCTTGTCCTGACTAGGAAGATATGCCTGCTTTTACTAGAGTCACAGGTTTTTAAAGCCCTGCTCAGTCAGGAAAGGGATTTGTGGTATCTATAGAGGAGGCAATCAATGCCAAGAGCCACTGAGACATGTTTCTTTCCCAAAATTTATTCAAATTATTTATTGAACACCTACTATGGGCTGGCACATAAAAAGCCAGATTCTCCCAATTGCCTAAGCATAAATCTAGGTTTCACTTAGCCATTATTTTTAATTCCTTTCTGTTGCTAAAGTTCCTATTTCATTTCTAGGCAAAACATTTGTAAAATGGAAACTTAGCACCTTTGAAACTTGCAGTGTGCTCCATACAGGTAATTTTGCTAACACGTGTAGCCTTCTACCACTTTATTTTCTTCCCTGAAGCCATTCTGATTAGTCTGTGGAGGGATGAGCAGTGTTAGAAGGCCTACTTGGAAATATGATCTTGGCAGTTCTGTAAGGTAAATCACCAAATATGTAACGAGTGAACTGAATATTGGGAGATTGGAAAGCACTGAGGTAAGGCTCCCAGCTTTGTAAGCCTAACAAGGTGCTTGAGTGTTAAAAGACGTTCAGATGAATCAGCTGCTTTTAGTTGGGGATAGTCAATGACTTAGCACTTAGTCCATGTTGCTATGCAAGAAAGAGGGCCCTTTTCAGTTCAGATTTCAAGCAAGAGTAAATAATGATAATGTTAACATTTATGGCTTACCATGTGGTAACCATAGTGCGCTATATACTGATTTTATATATGTATATACACATACATAAATATACACACACATATTCCTTATGGTGTTTATATTGTGCTTTACATACTTTATCGCTTTTCCTTCCCCACCAATTTTATGAGGTATTCTTCCATTCAATAAATATCTGAGGAGCTGGGCTAATGCTAGTAGCTGGGAAAGTAATGGTTAACTAAATCAGGCACAGCGTGTGCTCTTGTGGAACTTACATTGATGGGAAGAGATACGCTGATCAATGAATCACCCCCAAACTCCAGAGGTTACCTACTATTCTGCAGTATTCTGAAGCAAAGGAACAAAATTAAAAGAAATTTTAAAACAAAGAAATCTGACGTAGACTAGGTGTGGTTAATGGGTGAGTGGTACAGGGAAGTAACCTTTAAACTGAGGGAAATGTTATTTTGTTTCGTATCCACCCCCCCTTTTTTTTAAGAGTTCAGCTTTTTATTGAACAGATTACAGAAGAAGTTTAGTAAAAAAGACCAAAGCTCATGTCATCGTCAGACTTCTCTGATTCTTCTTTTCTTTGCTTCCACTTTCTTCTCAGCTGGGACAGCAGTGGTGGAGCGGGCAGGACCTTCTGCTGGTGTGGCACCAGCTGCTGGGACAGGTCCCTTAGCCCCTACCTTGCAGATGAGGCTCCTATGTTGACATTGGCAAGAGACTTTGCAAACAAGCCCAGCCAGAAAGGTTCAACATTTACACCCGCTGCTTTAATGAGGCAGGGCTCTTATCCTTTGTGAGCCTCACCTCATCATGGTGCAGGATGAGGACTGAGTAGAAGCAGGCAAGCTCCCAGCTGGAGGCCTTGGTGCAGATGAGGGCTGAGTAGAAGCAGGTGAGCTCCCAGCTGGAGGCCTTGGTGCAGATGAGGGCTGAATGGATGCTGCCGGGCAAGGTAATAGTCACAGGATGAAGTGAGAGCCTCACCCCACCCTGGCCTTAGCTTCCGCAGAAGAACAGAGCACCTTAGTGGCAGCTGAGGAAAACCTGTTATGCCCTTTTTACAGGAAACTTAGACTTGCAAATCTGTCTGTCTTCAAAACCCATGTTTTTCAAAAGATAATCTTCCCACAAGTGGACATTAAGATCTTTTCTAGCCACACAGCACAGAGAGAACACAGCTGCCAGAGTTAGAGAATTCCAATCTTCACACAAGGCATGCATGCTCTCCACATTGAGGATAGAAGGGCAGAATTCTGGCCCTAAAAATGCCATTTCTAGAGTAAACAGTACTAATATTAAGGGAGACTAAAGACTATTTGCAATTAGTAGTAAGAGCCAAGGCACACTAACAGTCATGCTACAGCAGACCAAATGGGATGTGACTCAAAGGGAAAATCCATTGATTGGGTGCCCTAGCCAAACTGGGAAATGGATAATGGTTATTCCAACATCCACAAGGAATACCTTGAGAATGAAATCAGAGGCTGTTGAATGCTCTATGCTTTACTGTACATACACTGGTATTATAAGCACATAAACTTCGCATTTCTCATTACAGGATTGAGTTTCATGCACTCTAAGCAGTAGTTCCAGTGTCCTCATGAAATCCCAGGTTAAAGACCCTCTATAACTTAGCTGTTTTTTCCTGACTTTAGAGCCAGCATTTCTGGTGTTCAGGCATCAGCTTCACCTATGGAACCACACCATAGGTTTATTTCAGCTTAGATATAGTCATATTACACAGTCCTCTAGTTATGAAATGGCATTATAAAAATTAAAGGTACTATTTGATTCAGTAAAGAGAGAGAGAGGAAATAGAATTGCTTGGAGATGAAATTAGTGTGGACTGATTATTCAGGTGAGGCTTAATCAGGAGGTGGGACTGAAAGTATGCCTTAAAGGACAATCAAAATTTGGGAAAGAAGAGAGGAAGTTACAGGAAGGGCATTTCCGGTAAAAGGAAAGAGAAGACCAACTGGCTGAGACACATTTGGACTGGGAGAGACTGGTATATGATGTTAGGAAATTCAGATCACATCAGATATGGGAAGCTTTGAAAAGGTATAAAGGGCTGGAACTTGATTTGAGGGCATTAGGAGTGATGAGGTCCTTTGTGCAGGACATAACATGAAAAAATACTTAAGTAAATCATATTAAGGTCCTTTCTGGGATGGATTTATAGACATAGAAGCAACAAATAAGTGGCTTCAGTCCATAAAAATTTGAAGAGTTGAATTTTACCCTGAGAGCACTAAGTCTATTAAAGTTTTTTTGGTTAGGGCAAGACATGATGAAAATATAGGCAAAGATATCCCAGGACATTTTTAGGGAGAGATTTGAGGGAGTAAAGACTAGTATCACACAACTGCCACAGTGTGAAATTTCTACAGCAATATATTCCTTAAAGATTACATCATCTTCTGGGAGAGGGGCATTTGTTAAAAGTTTAGGAAGAAGTAATTAATCACCTAAGAGGAAAACAAGTGACAAAGGAATCAGGGACCCAGTATAGGACCTTCTTTGATGGGATGATGGAAAAAGAAAAGAAATAATAGAATGTATTGTCAGGAAGGTCACCATCAGAGAGGGAGATCAGAGTAAGATCACAGTGTGGCCTGGGGCTCTTTAGGGGACAGACCATGGGTAGTGGATGCCAGGGTGGAATAAAGGAGTGGATATGAGGAGCTTATCAGTAAATGCAGAAGCTAAGAAAATCACAGACAAACACTAAAATGGATAGTCACACAGTATTTCTTTGAAACTTCCATGTTAATCCTCACCATAAAGACATTTCCCATAGCCCCCCGTATGCATGGGCAGAAATGCCCTAGCTTACTACTGATAAGTAGTTGTAGTTACACCTAGATAAGTTGTTGTTATTATGTTTTTGCTTACTAAGAGAGCATGCCTGCCACCCTATTTCCCTTTCTCTATAGGCATTTATTTTCAACTAAACATGTACTTAGATGCTTAAAAGATACAGCTAATTTTTTAAATGTAGGCTTAAAAAGTTGTGAAAATAGTCACTCCAGGACTTATAGACTATTAAAAAGATTTAAAACTCAGTTGCAGCTTGTTTGGGTTTATAAGTACATTAAGTACTTAAAAATGAAGGAATAGTCACCAAGTTTAAATTCATGCACAGTCTAAAAGAAACATTTGTCCTAATATAGTCATTTTGATATGCATTCTATATAATCAATTCCTTATTCATCATTATTAACTCTTTTTTAGTCTACAGAACAAAGGCTGCTTTGAGCCATTGTCTCAAGAAACAAGAGCTCTATGATTAGGGTCATTAAGTAGCTGATTTAGTAATTGTTAAGTAAAAATCACTTCTCTTTCTTGGGAAGTCTCTGTTGAAATAAGCTGTAATAATTTGAGTAATGTGA